AGAAAATCCCAATACGTGTAAATGAATTGGTTTACATGAAAGTTATAGCGTTTACAAATGGCGGTATAGATACTGGAATTTTTATTTTTCTACTAGTAATAACGGCGATCTGCGACTTATAGTGGGACTGCAGTGGACATTTTGACACTGGGGGGAACTGACTTGGTGTCACTGACATTCCCAGTGACACCAATACAGTGATCAGTACTAAAATAAAGCACTGACACTATACTAATGACACTGAGCAGGAAGGGGTTAACATGAGCGGTGATCAAAGGGTTAACTGTGTGCTGGGAGTGTTTTACTAGGGGGCTGTGTGTTGGTGCGTCACTTTAAGCACACTGCTAAGGATGGCTGTGCTTTGCACAGCCATTCAGAGCTGTGTGCTCGAGCTGACAGGGAGCAGAACTGTTAGTAAACAAAACAGTCCTCCTCCCCATCGGAAATGCTCAGTAATAACCGGGGGCCGACGGGTAATCACTGGCTGGGACCCGGTGATTGACAACAGGGACTGCAAATGGCAGCGTGGAAAAGCGAATGTGCGGCCCACGTGCGCCCCCTACCCAGAAGTGCAAAATCACATATATTTACATGATTTTGCACACCTGTGCCACCCTGTTGCAGTATTACTGCTACAGGGCGGTCGGGAAGCCGTTAAATGCCACACAATCAGTGTTTGAATTGGAACTATATTTGGTAGGTTAAGAGGGGTATAATCCCTGTTGGCTTTATTCCCATCTTTATGGAGATTTCCCTTTACTTCCTGTTTCATGACTGAAACAGGAAGTGAGAAAAGATACAGTGCCTCCAAAGTGAGAGAATCCTTGGTTGTCACCAATGTCAACAGAACTAGTGTCCATTGGAAGATTTCCCTTCTATTTCTGTTCCCATGACAACCCAAAAAAAAAGCACAGACAGCAAAAAAACTGACAGGTGTTCCAATTCCTCTTTAATCTATTAAAACTCAAAAAAACTTTTGTATTTAGATATAATCTAAATTAAAAAAAAAGCAACTAATACTAGCCCCAACTTTGGAAAAGTCCCCAGCAGTACATCTTCTTGGTCAAACGTTGCTCTCAGTCTTCTGGGCTGCAAAACACTGGGCATCATTCAACCCAGAAGACTGAGGACATACTGTTAGTTCAGGCTGTTAGGGACCTGCACCCCCAGGGGGCTTCTCCATCCACTGAGCTGATTGAAAGAGCAGTAACTCTCTTAATCATTACACTGCAATAGTTGAGCATTTTTCAATGCAGAAAAGATCTGGGCAGTTGTAAAGGGAAGCAATTCAAGGACAGTTTCGGGTGTCCACATCACCTGGATTTTATGGACACATCCTATTGGTTGTCTGGTGTCAAAATTCTTTCAAGTCCTGAAGACTGGATTGGAGAGATGACACTGGATCCACCATTCATAATGTTGGTGTCAGTCAACAAGCATTGAATGGGTGAAAGGGTTGGGGAAGGGGGGGTGGTAGGGAGAGATGGGGAGATTTGTTGTAACATATTTTCTTACTTACCAATCCATCCCATCTTCTCCATCAGCTATTTGATAAAACACATACTTCCCCCTTACATACAGCATCCACATTCCCTATTTTCTGTCCTTTATCTACTAATATTGTAACCTTTTTAGAGAAATGTCCTCATTCTCGGTGCATCTTGCCATTGCTGTTTTTCTGTGCTTTGGCATATTATTGTCATCAGAAACCTTTTTTTTGTATTTGTACTCTCTGTACTGCTTACCTATTTATTTATAAAGTTTTTTTTTAAAATTTGCTCTTCACTTCAGAAAAACTGAAAAACGTATTCTCTGCCAATGACCCAGTATGGAGTATGGAGAGATCCGCAGGACATTATCAGCTACAGGAATTCATCCTCCACATTGTGGAGAACCATCAACTGACAAACCACCTGAATGTGTTTTCCAGGTTTGACAACTCCACATATACATCCCAGTCAAGCATACACATTTCATCTCCATCCATACTCCTGGAAATCTTCCAACCCTCCCCTGAAGATCTGTAAAAAGGATGTATGGAAGATCTTACATAGACAAAAGATAAGGAAGACACTGGGCCCAGACAGAATAACATCCCCCTGCCTGAAGGTCTGTGCTAATCTGGCACCCATTTTCACACAGATCACTGTAGCAATGTGAATTCTCCTCCTGATTCAAACAAGTGTGCTCCATATTGGGCAATAAGGAGTAAGGAAATGTTCACACAAACATTGGTGTTCCACACTGTGAACAGACATTGGGAAGAATAAAATGTAAACATAGTGGCAAGAGCTTAGTGGGTATGGTGCTGTGGAGAGGGTTAGATGAGGTGTGTGTGTGCGTGTGTGTGTGTGTAGAGGGACAAAAAAAACGAAGTTTAATCTGCTTATATTTTGCCTTATATAGTTCTTCCTTCCCCCCTCACAGTTAAAAAAGAAAATCAGTTTCCATGACACATCTTGTTTTACACCCAGTGTTGTCATCACTGGGTCTCTGTGATTCTCTAAACAATGGAGGCAAATTATGACTTGTAGGAGGGGCCAGTACAGTACTGTTATGTTTCTTGAGATGCCCCTGGTGCCTTTTTCATAGGCTTTTTTGAGTTTGGGCAAGGACACAGGGGCCCCATGATCCTCTATTGCCCGGGGGCCCCATGAGTTGTCAGCCCTGAATGGAAGTGAAGGCCTTCTGGCTCTACATATTTTTTTTCCACTTACAGTGATTTTATGTTGTGACTTCAGGCTGTGTTGTTTCGATTCATCTATTGTATACGAATAATCTAATTTTTTCAGACGTATTGATTTGATATGTGAACTTGTCGTACACGTTTCAAACAAATATATACTTTTGGTCTCTTAGATGCTGCCATTACCCAGCAGAGTTGCCCCTTTTTTTTCCCTGAGGAAGGAGTTGACTGACTCTGACATGCAATGGATTGGCTACAACAACTGTGCAAATGATTGACATGATGATGATGATGTAACAAAGGAGTAAATCTGTTGCAAAACTATATAACTGTTTATGCGATGGTGATGTAAGCAAAACAGCCTTTTCCACATCATTTGTATATTTGGTGGTTTTACCATGCTACTCAAAGATGTATATGCATTTTTAATTTATTGGTGCCATTAAAGTCCCATTTAATTGGGGGGGGATTCCATTTACTGTTGACATTCTGGAAGAGTGGGAATTCCTAGGCAGCCTGTGATTGCCTGCAAATCACCCTAGGTCAGGGGTAGGCAACATGCGGCTCTCCAGCTGTTGCAGGACCTCAAGTTCCATCATGCCTCTGCAAGTCATAGCTGTAACTGTCAGTTTTGTAATGTTGCAATGCCTCATGGGAAATGTAGTTCCACAACAGCTAGAGAGCCGCAGGTTGCCTACCCCTGCCCTAGGTAAAGCCAATGTGTGATGCTGAGTCTCCACAAAAAACTGAAATCCAATGAATGAAAGGGGTCAGCTAGGGTCAGCAAGACTGGGTTGGAAAAAGCTATATGATGTAGGAGATCCTATAGCCAGGAAATGAGGCAGGCTGTAACTGACTTGTTTCAACCTCTAATGTACACTGTGAAAAGCAAGTAAGCAACTAAATAAGTAATTCAGTATTGGAAAAGAGATTTCACAACTGTGACTTAGCTTAAGGCCATGGTTCAGCTTTATAAACAGTGCTTCAGCAAATGCTGGGCAGGTCTTGTGATATCACATATCTGTGTCTGCCTCCATTTTGGAGGAAACTTAAGACTCCTAAAAAGGAGCTCTAGCAGCTGAATGTTTGGACTTAAGGAGGGCTCCAACCAGGGGTGGACTGACAACTCATGGGGCCCCTGGACAACAGGGGATCATGGGGCCCCTGTGTCCTTGCCCACACTCAAACCACACCCAAAAAAAAGCCTATGAAAAGGTACCAGGGGCATCTCATGGGGCCCCCTACTGACCCTGGGCCCTCGGGCAGTGCCCGAGTTCCCAAATGGTCAGTCCGCCCCTGGCTCCAACACAGCAATTAGCATGAAAGCAGTTTGCAGGTAAACAAACAATAAAATAATAAGTAAGACTGTCCGAGTCTCATAACCTTCCACCTACCTGCAATACAGTATTTAGTTATTGCCCTTATTTAGAGATTTCCTATGTAAAGTTTGCTTTACAAATGATGAGAATATATGAATCCCTGGAGGTGCTTAAAAAAAATATTAATTGACTGAAAAGTAAAACAGAGCTCTGAAAAATGTATTTTTCCATACCATACCTCTCCCTTCATCCCCAGATCCTGAGATCCCCAGTAAGTTTTCTTGTTGAATTATGAGCTGAGTCAAGCCTAATAAATTCTCCTCAATCCTATAAGCTATGTATGTGCTGCTCATTCTCGCTCTTACACACAGTCTGTTAGGATGGATTCATTAGGTCAAAGTAGTGTGGGTAATCGTTTCTTCCCTCAATCTCCCATCCTCTTGGAGGTGGCTTATGGTCGATTCTAGTCTGAGAATAGTGTGGCAAAACAGTATCCTCCTTCTTTCACCCATCCTTCTGGAATGTGGCCCACACCTCACTCTTGGACTCAAAGTATTATGGCCAAGCAGTGTTGGCCAAGCAGTGTTTATTAATTTCTGAAGACCTGATCCCACTACACTGTCTTAGAAACTTTCAGCTGTCCTCTATTTCTTCCCAAGTCTACTGAAAAATATCATGAGAAGGAGTGATCCAGAAAGGATACAGTGTAAGTATATAAGATCACAGACTGTGGCAGACCACTTTCTTCTTCAACATTCCCAACAGCATACGAATCTGTAACTTTTATTGACCTGGGTGCTCCTAAACAGGTCACAAATGCTGGGTTTTCTTCTTAGAAAGGCTAGCATGCCATCACACAAGTAGGAGTGCACCCTGTAAAGTGTTAGTTTTAATTAAAACAATATTCTTAGTTGATAATAAATAAAGGAATAAAACATGCAATCATTTTATCGCATATAAAACTTTAATTTACACAAAAATATTATATCAAAGCATCACTTTGAAATGCATGCTGTTTTACTTGAAATACAAAGTTTCTTCAAAGTTTCTTTCACTTCTTTGTTGTTCAGGCTGTAAATGATTGGGTTTAACATTGGGCACACAATATTATAAAAAACAGAAATGTATTTCCCTTGGCTTGTCGAGTAGTCCGATGATGGTTCCAAAATACATAATCATCCCAGTCCCAAAGTACAAGGCTACCACAGAAATGTGAGAGGTACATGTGGAAAATGCTTTGGATCTACCTGCAGATTTAAGCTGTAATACTGTGGCAATAATGAAAACATATGTCACAATAATATAGACAAAAGGGAGAAGGATACTAGCAAAACACAAAATAAGTATGGAGATTTCACTTGAGGGGTCACGATCGCAACTCAGTTTGATGATGGCTAGAAGCTCACACATATAATGGTTGACCCGATTCGGATTGCACAAGGCCATGGGTGAGGAAAGTGATGGTAAAACAAAGAAGAAAAAGCTAATTATCAACAAAAGAGCTATAAGTCGATAACAAACACTCCATCTCATTAGAACAGAATAATGGAGAGGCCGACAAATGGCGATGTATCGGTCATAAGCCATGAGAGCGAGAAGAAGACATTCGGTACCTCCCATGAACATAACAGTGTAGAATTGAAGAACACAGGCTCCAAGGGAAATGGATCTCTGAGCATCAAATAAGTCAGACAGTAACCTTGGAACAACTGACGATGAACTGCACAAATCCAGAAAGGACAAAATGCAGAGGAAAAAGTACATTGGAGTTCGTAAATGAGGATTAATAATAATAATAATCATTATTATAAGAAAATTCCCCATAAGAGTTATCACATAGATCACAAAAAACAGAACAAATAGTACGATGTTTGTTTTTGGATCTGTGGAAAATCCTAGAAGAATGATTTCAGTGATAATAGTTCTGTTCTCTAAGCTCATGACACAAACTTTTCTAAATTTTGATAATCACATAAAGATTAAGAAGAAGCAAGCCCTGCTTATGGTATGGCAAATTTTGTTTTCAAAATAAATTTAAACTAGTTATTCTCCTTTTTTTTTTTTTAACAATAGTAAGTCACTTTCGTTACATGGATAATAAAGTCATATGTTTAAGAAAATGTACATAATAAAAGAAAGCAGTTGAAGTCTTACCCAACAGGTGCTGTACATCAAAAGACCCAAGGCATGTGAATCTTCCAGAAGTGTCTGGGTATTAGGAATTAGAGGTTAGCAAACCTTTAACCTCCTCGGCAGTATGATTCTTTCCGATTTTTTGTGCTGAAAGCGGTACCATTTTTTTTGCATGGAAATATGTAGTTTTTTTTTTTATTGTAGGCTGTAATTTTTAGGAATAACTCACTGAAATCTGTCCGAACAAGAGTCTAGTAAACATTCCGGGTATGATAAAACTTGAAACACGAAATCATAAATTATAATTTAATAAATAATCATAAAAAATAATAATATAATAATAATAATACATTTAATTCAATAATATAATCAAACCAAAAACCAAACATTGAAATTTGAACTACAGAGGCAAATTTGCACATCGCTGAGCAAAGTCGCAAAATCGTTTTCAGTGTCTGATGACGAATTTCCCCACGAATCATTATCACTCAATTCTGCAAGTGGTTCTGATTTACTATCGCTGTTCTCTAGCTGGTCTAAAACCGCTTTTGACGTAAAGGGACGCTTTTTGGACGCCATGGACTTTTCTAAGTTTCCAGGCAGAAAGAACAGACAAAATGCAGGCAGGGCACAGGACAAAGCAGTAGGGACAAAATGTATGTGAAATGCATTGAAACAGCAATGACAGCAAAAATGACATTTTTTAAAAATTTCAAATTTCCCGCCGCCGTTCCGGTGCCCGTACGTCCCGACGTCACAGGAACCGTAACACGGAAGCCGGATGCCGGCATCGGCCGGAGGAGATGGCCGGGGATGCTGCAGGGGACACATCGCGGGAGCGAAGGACAAGGTAAGTGCTGCAAGGGACCCCCTAAGCAGCGCTGCATGGTAAGCCCCGAGTGTAGCTCGGGGTTACCGCTCTTGGTACTCAAATTTTACCCCCGAGCTACACTCGGGAATACCGCTAAGGAGGTTAAGCAAACGTTATGAACTCATGTGCTTGACATTATTCTCACTGTTTTACTTTCAAACTGTGATTAGCTTTTGACTTTAGCAATCCAGTTTATTTCCATTATACAGGAGCCTTCTTGGGAGATATTCTGAATGATGGTTTTCTTCTTCAATATATACATATAATGCTTTCAGATGCCAACATTGTATCAATTAACATTTCTAAGTTTTATTTTAAATATAAATATTAAAAACAATAAAATAATTCACTATTTCTCATCTTCATAACATTTTCAAATATCATAATAATCAGCAGCAAAATATATTCTACTGGTCATAAAGTGCAGAACTTCAGCTTTTTTGTTAAGGAGAAATCATGCCCAAGGCCTCATGTACACTGCAGCTGATAAACTCACGTTTTAGGAACTGTTCAGCGGTTTTTTTCAGCAGCCCCTGAACTCTCCCTAATGTTTTCCTATGTGTCCATGTACACATCTTCGTTTACAGTCGTTTACAGGCATTTGAGTTTACAGTTTGCAGTTTTTTTTTAACGCAGAAAACTTGCATTTAGCAGTCGATTTTATCAGCGTTTCAAATGCAAAACGCTAGTAAACGAGGCTAAATGCGTTTGCGTCTGAAATTTTTTTTTTTCATTCATCCAGTTCCCGATGCTGTCCAGAGCCTTTTTTCATCATGAAAAATGCATGCAAAGCATTTTAAAGGTGCTCAGATGGACAAAACACTGAACACAGGATGTTCCTACCAAGCTTGTCACACATGGTAATGACCAATTCACACCTCAGACCTCTCCCACCTTTGGAAACAAAAGATATGTTAATGACCACTCACACCTCAGACCTCTCCCACCCTTGCAAACAAAAAGATATGTTAATAACCACTCACACCTTAAACCTCTCCTACCCTTGGAAACAAAAGATATGTTAATGACCATTCACACCTCAAATTCCTCATGAAGACCCCCTGCCAGGTGACCGTAATGACTCCCTCCACCAGACACCTTTCCCACCTTTGGAAACAAAAGAAATGTTAATGAGCAACTCACACCTAAGCTAATTTCAACACATACTGCTGTCTCTGCTTCTACTCTCTGTATTTCTCTGAAACAGTCTGAAATAGTTAATAATTTACCACTTTTCAGTGTATTCTGGGCATTTGGGAGGTTCTCTGTGCTTATCTTTAAAAAACGTTTCTAAACGCAAACGCACATAAACGCGCATAAACGTGTTATGCAAACGTGGCTAAACAGACGTTTTTTAACTTACTTTTTCCAGCAGTCAGTTTCATTCAGAAGTGTCCCGTGTACATGGGGCCAGAGAGTCTTGGTAGTCCATACGTTTATCATTACAACACTATTTGGAAAGCAGTCATTTCACCTATGCCTTTCAAAGACAATGTTCACTTAATCATGATTGGTATTTAACCTCCTAGGCAGTATGATTCTTTCCGATTTTTTGTGCTGAAAGCGGTACCATTTTTTTGCATGGAATATGTAGTTTTTTATTGTAGGCTGTAATTTTTAGGAATAACTCACTGAAATCTGTACGAACAAGAGTCTATTAAACATCCCGGGTAGGATAAAACTTGAAACACGAATTCATAAATTATAAATTTAATAAATAATCATAAAAAATAATAATATAATAATAATAAATTTAATTCAATAATATAATCAAACCAAAAACACTGAAATTTGAAATACAGAGGCAAATTCGCACATCGCTGAGCAAAGTCGCAAAATCGTTTTCAGTGTCTGATGACGAATTTCCCCACGAATCATTATCACTCAATTCTGCAAGTGGTTCTGATTTACTATCGCTGTTCTAAAACCGCTTTTGACGTAAACGGACGCTTTTTGGACGCCATGGACTTTTCTAAGTTTCCAGGCAGAAAAAACATTCAAAATGCAGGCAGGGCACAGACAAAGCACTAGGGACAAAATGTATGTGAAATGCATTGAAACAGCAATGACAGCAAAAATGACATTTTTTAAAATTTTCAAATTTCCCGCCAGTTCCGGCGCCCGTACGTCCCGACGTCACAGGGACCGGAACACAGAAGCCGGATGTCGGCATCGGCCGGAGAAGATGGCCGGGGACACTGCAGGGGACACATCGTGGGAGCAACACCGCATGGTAAGCCCGAGTGTAGCTCGGGGTTACCGCTCTTGGTATAGAAATTTTACCCCGAGCTAACTCGGGAATACCGCCAAGGAGGTTAAGTTAATATCCAACAACTGCATTGCTTATAAAACAAAGTTAATAATTAAACAAATGCATATGGATATATTTAACTTCTTTACCTGTTTTCTTTTTTCCTTCCTTCCCATCGCTTTCTCCCTCCTGCTAATTGCATAATTTCTGGATTTTGAGTAAAATTATATCAAGTTATATGAAGTCTTAAATTTATGTTAAACCCAGTAAAACAGACTGAACTGAAAATATGTGCTATATGGAGTAGAATACACACATGGCAAAACAATCCAGTAAAAGGTCAGATATGTCAAGATTTGTCACTCCAAAGATAATAACTCAACATCTGATATTAAAGTGAATTATCACTTTAAAAGGTAGTGAGAAGAGGTTTGTTGATGACAGTTACTGAATATGGGTGTAATCGGAATAGGGAACTTTCAGTGGTGTAACTAAAAACGTTCAAGGCCCCTGGGCAAGAAACCATGAAGGGCCCCAGCCAGGGCTCTTCTCTCCGAGCCTGATGGTGGAACGCCAGGGCTCAGTCGCAGGTGCCATCTTTGCAACTCTGGTAGTTTTGCCATTGGTGTTAGTAGTTTTTTTTATTTTGTTTTATTTTCTTTGTTATCTTTACCATTTTATTTTAAATTTACAAAATTAGTTTTAGGAGCCCCATTGGGGGTATTTGGTGAAATATCTGGATCTAAACAGACCCCTCTGATGTTCTACATTTTGGACAGAGAAAGAAGATTGAGGACACAGCTTTTTTTCTCCTTCTCTGCAGCCTCAGCAGCACAGAATGAATGGACAGTCATAGCTCTCTACAGAGCTTCCTGTT